CATAAAACCATATTTTATGTTTTTACAGGAATGCAGAAAAAAAAGGTTTAAATCAATCTTACAGATTACACGCGTATTCCCGGTAAAGCAATCCCAGCATTAGTCCATCGGGTTAAAATGAAACCCAATTCATTTTGGCTGTTTATATACAGGAGAAATCTTTTGCACTGGCACTTCCTTCAAGTTGGTGTTAAGTCGCAAAAGGTTGGAGGAGGTCCTTACGGCTTGAAAAACAAAAAAAAAAATAACGTGGCAGGTGTGTTTTAACTCTTCATCAGCTGTTGTACATGTAGAACCTGCCCTGCCTGTAATTTTCATGTGGCTTTGTCGTGTCTTTTTCGATACGACATGACAGTATCGACACATTCAGTCAGTTTTAGCTTCGTTGACGATCGCGCTATGTCAACAAGCTAGCTCAAATCCTCAACCCGGCATTGGCTCGCTCGGTTAGCTTGTTCATCGTTGTATTTTGTGAGCGTTTGCTATTTTTTTTTGTAAGATGAATGGCAGCCCACATACTTTATTAGTTGAAAAAAAAAAAGGCTTACATACAAGTTTTTCAGTCTTGGGATTGATAAATGTTGAACCCTTTCAGGGACAGCGGTTACTACAGTGGACAGTTTATCATGTTATCGGGTTACAGGGTGCGTGAAAGGGTTAATGGCAATTTATTGGCCTTCGAAGCAGCCTGCAAAAACAACAAAATGATGACAAAAATGACAAAGGTAGCCTGGAGAGGAAAAAGCTTTGAGAAAATGAGGTTGACAAATTGGTCTTTAATCACATGATAACCACTGCGCAAGTTCGCTCAGGACATAGATTTAATGGAGGTGCAAAATGATTAAACATCAGGCAAGCAGTGAACTTTTTCTTGATTGTTAAAATACACGGAGAAAAAAAAAATTTGGGTTGACTTTACTCAATTCTAGTTCATCAAGTGGTTGGATGAAATAAAATCATCTGGATCCAGATACATTTTGAAGTGGACTATATATCTACTTGAAAAATTGCAAATGATTTGATTTTATGCAACCACTTGACAAAATGACATTGAGTAAATTCAACACACCAATTTTTTCCCAGTGTACGCCCAATGCAGATGATGGGGCTCTTTAATAGTATTTTCTTGGTGCTTGATAAGGTTCAGAAACAACACCCCAGTGTGCCCCAAAGGAGGTGATGGCACCGTGGAACCGGCCGCTGATGAAGCGGAGTTCAGCCTTCTCGTTGTTCGGGTACATGTTGAACGAGTGCCCCGTAGGCCGACCCGCGTAGAGGGAACGGCCCAAGTTAGTAGTGAACACCAGAGACTGGATGTAGTGTGCATATTTTCCAGAGATCTGCACGATGGCCTCATTGTCAAACAACTCAATTTCCTGCATTTGGCCCCACTCCCGGCCCGTCACATCGGTCCATTGGTAGCCATAGCGAAGTTGGAAGCTGATGAAGATAAAATAAGCAAATTTGAAGAGGAGGAATATATCGATTGAATTAATCGAATATTTTTATGTTAAGCATTTCTGCATAGATTGTCTTTTTCGGGGCGGGGTTACCAATTCAATTCTCTACATGGACAAAATAAAGAAAGACGACGGCAAACCAATTCTTAAAATGTTAATTGTTCAGGCCGTGCTAAAAACAAATGATGGCAAAATTCATTTGCCACATTTTTCAAATAAAAGCGGAGAGAGAAAAAAAGTCGTCCGTTTGGAAGGTTGGGCTCTCATAGTTATGGAGTATGAAATTGGCGGAAACAACGCCACCAAGTGAACTAAAACTAGAACTGCTAGTTTTTACAAAGTACTGTGATGACATTTACTATTTACCACTGATTATGTTATGGCGGATGATGAAGTTATTCACCCATAAATGTAGTTGTTGTTGGCCTCCCACACTCGGACACCGGTAATCCGCCCACTGCCGGTGACCGAATACGAGGTGCCTTGTCCTGAGCCGACCTGTGGGGAGATTGAGTAATACGAGTGGCCGGGCCATTCTGGGTGGGGGGTACACACAAAAACTCTGTATTAAAAAACATTCGGTAGATTTGTGACCACTCTAGGTAAGGCAACAAGTGAAAATGCAAATATACCGTCAGCCAAAGCAGTGATTGAGAGGAGCGCAAAAACGACCGTTAAAATCATTCTGTGGAAAGAGAAAATTGGTTGAAAATATTGAATTATTAAGATGAGATAAGCGAAAGAGAGCCTTACCTGCTACTTATCGGACGATTTTCTTTGTGATCGGAAGATACCTTTGACAAAGGAACTATATAAAATTCATTGCATCAAGGAATGCTGAATTAAGAAAACCCTTTTTTTTTTCATTAATCCTTCAGTTGAAGTCAGGATTCCCCTACAAGGAAGTTTCAGCAATAATCTGTCAGGCTAAACTGTGAATAGTAGTTAATCTTGGTTTCAATTTATACTGGCACTTTTGTGCGTGCAGTTCCTTCAGATTGATGGAGGAGGACTTAAAGCCTTTCAAAAAATGTTTCAGGTATGAAAACATATCCGTTGATCTCTTTGACATGTGGAACCTGCCCTGTCCGCATTTTGTGTGTGACTGACATGTGTTTGAAATACTTTATGACGTCACGACGTTGATTCATTTTTAACCTTGTTGACTTTGGATCGATCTAATGTACAGCCGTAGTGGCCAGGCCAATTAGCATTCTCCTTGACAATCACGCCATATTGTTCATGCTTTAATTAGAAAAGAATGCACCTCCAAATGTCGTTTCCAGATACGAACATGTTCGGGGGGGGATTTGCGATTTCTATTTTTTTCCATTGCAGTAATTTGGCTAAAGGTGCCAGTACCAATCGCAAAGTGTGCGTGGATTGTTTTGTGGTTAGCTAACCGATAGCATCCATGCTCCCCACTCATGTACATTTAATTTTTAGTATGATTATTTTGAATGCGTTTACTGACACAGACCACAATGATTGATCACCGGTCAGTTCCATAAAACAGCTGACGAAGCCTTAAGGGGCCCGAGGGCATTACGGGGGTCCTCAACCTGGAAAAAATGGGTCTTGTAATCTTCAAGTGACGATCATTTTAGCTTTTACTGTCACGTGTTGCTGTAATTGTTGCGGAGGCACTTTGTGTTACAAAATAATGGTTAGAACTTCGCAATACTGATGGGAGGCTAATGTGCAAACATGTACTGTAAGTTCGAAATGGTGCTACGGTGACAAGTTGCTAATACACGATTTAAAAAAAAAAGGCAATACAGTAAACCGATTAAAAAAAATTTAAGCCTGTCAATTCAATAAAATATACGTTTTGGTAATGTGAAAATGAGCTTTCCTTGCATTTTATTGTTTACAGCACTAAAACAAATAGAGCTAGCATGTTTTTTGGGGCTGCATTTTTAAAAGCCACGAGTTAGCACCACAACGAAACGTTTTCCAAATCGACCGGCGGAGAGACTGCTCTGTAATTTTACGACAGCTTCGTGATTGTGATACATTCCAGAATCGGTGTGCGATCACACCAGAAGAGTGATGATCACTCCATCGTCCTGTCCTTGCCACAGCATTTCCCCCTCAAAGTGGACTTTCCCGTGTTTCCGGGCTCTCATTAGAATCCCCACCACCTTATCAGAGATACGGACGTATCTGTCAAACAGCTCTCCAAACGTCACTCGCGTCTTCCCGTCTTGATCCGGATGGGCCATCGTTCTGATGATGTAACACATATCGGCGATCTCTCCGTGGATGTGTTTCTCGGCTCGTTTAGCTCTCTCCGCTGTTTTGGTGCCCTCCTTGGGGCGCCCGTAACCGTCTTGACCTTTTTGGAGGCGGAGTGACATGGAGTAATCGTAGTCAAAGTATTCACTGAAGGGGTTGACTTTCTGGTTATCCGTGTGTTCCGAGGCCCAGTTTTGCCAGCGGCTCTTGAGATTTCGAACCGAGCTGTATTTCTTGGAGAGAGCGTTGATCTTATTGGCATCCGCAGCTTCCTTACCGGACCTGAAAAGGATGTTTCGATGACAAGATGACAAGCTAAACTAAACCACGAAACCAGACTCTTCTTATTTCTACCGGCGTGTTCGTATTTATACTTTGCGTTAAATGGTAAAAACAGACGTGAAAAGGCCCGATTGTTAGTCGAGAAAGGAAACAACATTTGCGGTTTGGGGGCTCCTTGGGAGTATCAAATTGATCCAATGGTCGACCTTTTTATTAGTTTTGAGTTTGTTGAGAAGATTTTGGCACTATCGTGACGCCTCCACGACACATTCCCGGCGTGTGGGATTCTGCCACAAAATTCTTAAGTGGGCGAGTGTCAGAAAATTGGTTTCGCAAGCGATTAAGAATATGAATCACAGTGCGCGGACAAAATGCACGCTCATTATTTTAGTACAAAGTCAAGAACCTAATTTACATACATCAGAACATAATTTGAATCAGACATCGGTGTTCACGTCTCGTAACGTCTCGACTAACAAAAGGTCTGCAAAAATCTTTTACTCACGTGAGGATTTGAGGCTTTTCGATTTTCACCGATGACTCGTCGTCACAGATTTTCGTTGACTTACTTCTGGATGCGTCGTCATCGATGTTTACTGTTTCCGTTTCTAATCGAGGAAGTCCACGATCCTCCTTTGGATCAGCACCAAGAATCTGTTTCTCTATCGGGCCAACTTTTCCAGGCTTCTGCTCATTTTCCACCGGTATCCCAGTTTGAGTCAGCAATAAGAGCACATTGGAACGCTTTCTGTGTGAAGGGGGAGAGCTTTGTGTTTCTAGCAACCTGTCTGCGCCCTCACCCGATCCGCTTTTCTCAAGACACTTTGCCAGTAGTTTAACTCCTGCTCTTCTGTCTTGCGGCCCACTGCGAACATTCTTCATCACCAGCTTCATCTCGATGGACGTTGAAATCCTCGGTAGCGCCGAGTTGTTTGCATCTTTAATCTTCGTTCTATCTTGAGGCAAATTCAGAGCGTCAGATACTGTTTCAAGGGCAACCACGGGATGCGGAGAATCCTCCGTCTTCTGGCTGGGAATGAATTTCGTAGCGACGCAAGACTTTTGGGGTTCCTCTGATGAGTCTCCGGGCCATGGAGACCATCCGCAAGGCTCGGCGGCCTGCTTCCTCTCGTTCTCCGTTATCCACTGCTGCCAGCTTTTTGCCAGGCCACACACTTTGCTGATGGCCCGGAGCTTCTTGACGTTCTTGTTGGCGGACGCTTTCCATAGAGAGATTTGTTGGTTCCACATCACTGACACACGTTGTGAAAACAAATTGGAGGCACAAATATTCCCCCTAACTGAGCTGTAAGGTTATATCAATATTGTCTTCCTTGGAAACACTCCGCTGCTTCCCCTTTCCAGTTGCGGCGCTATCTCTGCAGTCAAGCTTTCCAATGGTTTCTTTCCCGGCACCTTTGCCCGACCCTGGTCACTCCGACAGAGTCAAATTTCATCATTTGGACATCTTACCCGATGTCAACATTGAAATGGGGCACTGGTGAATGCAGACCAGTCTTGAGGCTATTTGAAGCATACATAACATCCATAAAAGCGGAAGTAATCGGCACGTGTATTTTGATCGTGACACTGAAACAGTAAAGATGTGAGAATTTGAGATCGCATAGGGAGCACCCATAAGTAAAGTTTAAGAGATGCAGCGATGATGGAAAAGACCGCGAGGTAACTCTTGCCCAGAAAAAGAAAGCGGGGAGGCAAAGCAGACGTGGACCCCCTGCTGACGCACGAAAACGGTTTCATCTTGCAAATGCGGCTTAGATCGCAATTCAAGAGAGCTGGGAACAAACACGCACCGATGCAACAGGAAACAGATTTGAAGACTGCGTGCGCTGCAAGAACGTAGTCTTTGACTTTTTTTTTTTTTTTTTTTGGAGTATGATGTTCATTTTCGTGAGATTATATTGCAGGTGGATTTCAAATGTTTTTTTTTTCCTCCTGGAGACTTATAAATAGAGACTGGCGCAGACGAATGAACAGTTGCAGCTGTTGGCTGTCTGTCACAGAGGATGAGCGTGACTCACCGGGCATTGAACAAGCAAAGCTCATCAAATTCCAAATTTGCGCTACAACGTTTTATCTGATGCACGGTGCTTATCACAAACATCACAAAATAGAACCACAAAGTGTTGTTTTTTTTCCAGCACAATTGTAATCCACCTGCCCTGTCTTTGTGGTACTTTCCATCCAGTAATGCAGGTTTCCGTTTCGCATTCCATCCCGCTTATCTAACTTCTTTATTCGTACACGTCACGAACAAAACCGATTAGTTTACAGTACCATCAAGTTCGACAGAAAAAAACGCAGTTATAATAATACACGTAGATTTAAAATTATTCTATTTTATTATTGATCCAGAAATACTCATATGATTACCTGTTTTGTCATTTTGATACATTCACTGCGATATAAACTCGGTTCGCAACAGAAAGTGACAAAAGTGAGCAGATAATAACTACGACATTTAACATTCAACAAGTCAACAACAATCCAGTGCTGTCGTGAATTAAATTTACAAGCGTGTAATTGAAAAATAATCACTACGACAGTTAACATTCAACAAGTCAACAACAATCCACTAGTGCAGTCTTGAATTAAATTTACAAGCGTGTAATTGAAAAATAATATGTTAACGACTGGTATCAGTCATCGAGTATAACATGCTTTTAATATTGTTGTCTGGGTTCTTTCTTTCTTTTTTAATAAACACATTTTGGAATATATTCGAATGAGTACAATGAAGCAATGACAGCATCTTTTTTTTTTTTTAAACATTTCTCTTCAGTGTTTCCTCCAAACATTTCAGACACAACTATGTTAAGGACGTATAGATTACATCTCGTATGGCAAGAAAAGCGTTGGTTGGAGTGGAAATAATGACGTCAGTTTTTCACTTTTGAAGCGTGTTTCCTGTACGCGGTGCCAAGTATTTCTATCGTTTAGTGGATGGTATTCATACGGAAACATAAATGATAAAACAGACCAATTATTTCATCCCATTTTAGGTGAACTGCATCACATTTTCAGAGACTGAGCATTGTGAGTATGACATGTCGCCACCAGAGGTCACTGTAATGCCATTATGCGAGCAGTTTGCCTTTTGAGTTAGGTTTTTTTTTTTTTTGGACGATTCTCTTCAGACAAAAAGTGAAAGAAATTCAGCTTTTGGGTGAAATTTCAGAATGAACATACATTTTTGAAAAGGAGCTGAAAGGCAAACTGAGACAACCGGATGATAAGAGAGTGTCTGATACGGATACAGAGAGACAAAAGAAGGAGTCACAGAAAGGCATAGCGATGGACACCCATGGAATTTTCTTGGTCCTTTCATGAATCAAACACCTGTTGTGAATTTTGCTGCTCATTTCCTTGTTGGCGAACAGGAAGCCAATCTCGTTGCCATGTACTTTTGTGCACGTGTGGTGACAATAAAAACAACTTATGTAACTTTAACTTAATCTTGAAAGTGCAAAAAGTACTGAAAAATTAAACAGTTCTTTTATGTTTCATCCCCCATATAGCTATAATTTTAGGAGACATTTGAAAAAAAAATCATTCTTGTATCTGTGCACAAAGTGTACACGTGTGCATTTTATATGCGGGTTATTCAGGTCAAATGGACTGGGTGGTCGAAGGCAGTTCAATTCTTGACACAATGCACCTGTCCTCCTTGGTGGACATCAACATCTGTACTCTTGTCGCTGGACTCCAGTTTACACTGCTTAATTGTTTCCAGATTGTTTTGTTTGGCAAGGCTATGTTGCTGTAGTCCGTACGGTATTCATCGTCGTGGTATATATGAATCTGTGAGCATCCCTTGTGAGCACACCTCTGTCACCTTGTTAATCATAATTATTTTCATTTGGCCGAAGGAGGCATTGTATATGACGAGGCGGAAGTACTTCTTTCACTTTTTGGTGTTGTTGCTGTACAGTTAGGATTTAATGCTGTGGCTATGCTGCCTTCGAGGCAAGTACAGTGAGTTGTAATTTTACTGAGGGGGAAGTCAGAATAAAAACACAGCTCTACTTACCAAGAAGTGATGCGTTATTGTTTTTGATCCTCCAAAAAGAAGGATTAGGTTGTTGGACAAATTGAATTGAGTCCAAAATATGGATCAGAGAGGACCGACAAAAGAGGGCGGGAGGGTTCGCGGTCACCCGTTAAGAGTCCAACGAGAAGACAAGAGAGCATTACTGAAAACAGATGGACTCATTAGGCATCGAGGGAAAGTTAAAAGTTCCTGGTTTAGATTTATATGACAGCCTCCGTGACTGTGTTTTACACTATGAAGAGGGTGGAAGCCGAAGAGGAAGGAATATGATAAAACAAAAGCATTTTAGAGTGGCAAGTGTTTACAGTTGTCGACGCTACGAATAGTGCTGTTTAACGTTCGAAATCTTTCCCCGTGTCACTGATAACCGCTTAAATGGTTTCGAGTACGACTGAGAGTTCCGCAGCTTTCGTTTGCTATCCTGAAAGGCATCATCTGTGCACTGCTGTGACTTCGTGTTCGTGTCAGGAAACGAGAGTGCGTCTTCAGTTTTACGGTTAGAATTTTTTTGGTTTTTTTGTGCGGAGGAATAGTCACGTCCACTAATGATCATTAATGACACAGTGCAGTCAAAGGCCAATGGGAATTGGTATTCAACAAACGTTGGCCCAGTTGCCCGGGTGACTCGTGTAATCCGGTCCAAGTATATCTAACATTTAAACTGCTGACCATGGCCCAAGTCAACATCTTTCCCAGGCGATGATGCTATATTTATAGGCAGACAAAGGTCTTTGTGGGTTCAAGGTTTACTGCCGATTGATTTGCTGACGATCCCTCCAGCGAAGTGAGTGTTTTTGTTTGAGCACAATAACAAAACAGTGTGGACGAGGAAAGTACAGATGTAAAGGTTTAACCCTTTGAGGGACAGCGGTTATACAGTGGACAGTTTCTCATGTTATCAGGTTACAGGCTGTCATTATTGGCGCATGTAAAAGGTTCAGAACATCCGGGAGGACGTTCGTGGCGAGCTACTCTGTTGGTTGAGCTTCAGCACAAGCTCAGCTCACACTTGAATAGGCACAATGTAAGGAGATCCAAAATCACAGTGGGGGGGGATTAATCCTCCTCAGCGAAATCAACAACTCATTATCTATTGTCTAGGTCAATTTTCTCAAAAGCCGACAGTGCGCCTTATAATCCGATGCGCCTTATATATGGATCAATATTCGGATTTCTTGGATGTAGTATTTGAAATGTTCTGTAAAGCGCTTTGTTAGAGCTGCAGCGGTTGTGAAAGCGCGATGTAAATAAAGCTGTATTGTATTCCCGTTAGCGTAGCTCCATCTAGTGGATGCATCACGCAACCGCAGCCACTATTGTCGCTTCTATTCGATGCGCCTTATAAAGCGGTGCGCCCTATATATGAAAATTTAAAATTGGCCATTCATTGACGGTGCGCCTTCTACTCCGAAGCGCCTCATAGTACGGAAAATACGGTACACAAATCAAATGAGGCTGTAACTGGCCAGGCTGCACATATGGAGGGGAAAGTTGAGAAGCAGCGCCGTCTCCTGACACCAACAAAGGCCAAATGCTTCTTTGCCAACTTTTATGGAGCCTCTTGACACTCCCCTGCCTCAGCCACTATTGAACACATTCCGCCGAGGGTGTTGGGTCAGTACAGGTGCTGACGGGCACATAGTAGTTTGCAGGCTACTGTAATTTGTTTAACCTCTGATTAGGCCCTGGAATCTCAACTATGAAGAGCCACTACAAGTCCTGACAGCAATTTTTTTTGACACTTTGGCGAGCTGTCATTGACACCATCCTGTACTTGAAACATTTGAACCCTATTATGCGGCACAACGAGGAAGCTAACTTTGCGCCATCTGGTTTGACTGGAAAAAACAAAAAACAAAAAAAAGAACAACGACATCAACCTCAAGTGTCAACTGACGTGATCTAAAAAGTCCAGTCCAAGCAAGGATTCTAATCTTAGTGCCTCCCATTTTATTTGGTAGCAACACAACACTGACCACGTTATAAAAAATGTTTAAATAAATCAGCAAATCTACAGTTTAATGAGGTAAAAGCACAGTTATCAGTGACACACTTCTCGTGTTATCTTCATTTTGTTAATCTGACTGAGAAGAGAGAGAAAAAAAAAAACAACTTTCCTCTGGAAAGCTGATTTATATACAAACACATTCAATGATCCAAATGTTATTCGAACATGTCAGTGGTAGCTTTACAAGTTCCAGACACCCCAAATGCGCATTTGTCTCTTCCGACATGCTCCTTTTCCATGAACGCTGACACATTCGCCTGTTGTAAGGTGAATGTGATGAAATGTCCGTTCATGTGAATAATTTGCCGGAGCGACGAATTTACATGCCTCATATCCGACCCCAAGCAGCAGTAATGGGAAACAGAAACTCGGAATTCAGATTAAGTGTCCATGCTGATGTCTCCCCAAAAAAAAAAAAGAACTTTTGTTTTTCTCAGTTGACGTTATGATGAGAGAGGACAAATGTAATGACCACCACCGGACTATTCATTTCACAAACATGGCAACCAGCTTAATATAAGCCCTTAGAATTATATATATATATTTTTGCATTCTTTATGTCTTCCTCCACAACACATCAAGTCTACAAACAATCGGCTAAGCCTCGCCATTGAATATCATCGTTTCATAAAATAAAGGTCACCTTAAAACTGAGCACGCTTCTCCTTCGTATGGGTTCAGAATACGCGGCACTGCAGTGGACATTCACGTGATGATGGCTATTTGTATACAATTATCATACGAGATGAATACTTATAAAAATGCAATGACGACAATTAAGGCACTTTAGTGTGAGCAACAATTGAGTACAAAAAGGTCAACTATGTGGGTGGTGTCCTCAGAGCAAAAAAAAAAACATCAGTTCTGTCCTGCAGTTTGTGAGTCTTTTCTGCTCTGCCATCCATCGCTGCGTCCTGTTCAGAACGTCCTCGTTCTTATAAATCGCAAGAAAAATCCTTCTTTTCGGCGTTTCAAAAACCACGCCCACTTTCCCAGTGTGGGATCGACACACTTGAATTATAGTGTCCTTAAATAATTACACGTGTGTTTAATCTGGTCAGGAGCATAAATTGGGCCTGCCTCTGTTTTTCTTCCCCGTGGCTGTTAACTTAGTTCATTGGGGAGGAAAGGTTTATGAAGCACGGCAGGTGAAATGAGATGAGGACATAACTGGAAGCGTCCCGCTAAATGTTAAATGTGCTAAATAGCCATTCGGAGGTTGGACGACTAGGAGAATTCAAGCGGGCGGATCATCATGGCCGTGGCTCGTAGTGAATAGCTGGAGCCCTTAAAGTAGTGCCACTTGATACCGTTTCTCTTCTCCACGTGCTGTCCTTGCACAAAGTACATGCCGTTCAGGTTGGATGGGCCGCAAGCATCAAACCACCAACCTAAAATGAGAACATCGAGACATTGTTGAAGTATGAGCTGTGATAGCAGGGAGTCGAATCACAAACAATGCGATCCAAATTCGCTGTGTGTATTCTGGACAAGAGAATCTCTGATGTCATGATCCAGAGGGTCATGATCCAGATGTGTACAATTGTTGGCAATGAATTAGAATAAACAGAAAATCCCATTTAAGATCTCATTTGTAAGAACTTTGGAGCCAGAGGGTCACAGTTCAAGTCTTGCTTGGATAGCAACAAGCTGTTGAAGAGATGCTTGTGTAGTAACCGTCGAAGTACCTTTGAGCAAGGCCAGGGCTGGACTGAACTCGAAGTGCAGATGTATGTGTTGGCACGGCCCAACACGCGAGCACATGGAGGCGTGCGGGTATGCTGATGCTAACCTTACCCGACCCTCTCTGTTACTGAGACGTCATTGTTTCTTTTACGATCCACAGTCATGGTTTCATTAAAAAGAGCATTCTGTTAGAGATGGGCTTTTGATCTTCTCCCTGGTCGGTGTCACTCCTGATTTACATATTTCTGAATTACCGTATTTTCCGGACTATAAGTCGTTTTTTACGTTGTTTGGCCGGGGGTGCGATTTATACTCTGGAGCGATTCATGTGTGAAATAATTAACACATGATTATGTCATTTCACATGTTATTTTCACATTAAACCACAAGAGGGCGCTCTCGGTCTGTGTTGATAAATCGACGATGAGTCTGACGTAAGTGACGAAGAAGAGGAAGGTGGTTCTTTATGCTAGATTTATCTGAATAACTCTTAATATGTTACGTCGTTACTGACATTACCAGGCATGTCAGTCATGTAACGTTAGTATACGTACACTTATTCTGCCTATTGTTCTCTATTTTATTTGTATTTTAAATTGCCTTTCAAGATAACATCTTGGTGTTGGATTTTATCAAATAAATTTCCCCCCAAAATGCGACTTATACTACAGTGCGACTTATGTTTTTTCCTTCTCAATTATGCATTTTTTTGGCTGGTGCGACTTATAATCGGGAGCGACGTATAATCCGAAAAATACGGCAATAAATTATACACCCACCAAAAAAAAAAAAAAAAAAAAAAAAAAAAAAAAAACACTTTATTCCCATTGCCCCCTGAAGACGCCAGCCCACCGGGCAACTGCCCGCTACGTCCAATGGCCAGTTCTGCCCTGAGCAAGGCACAGATGATATTGAGTAGCTCAAATAAATTAAACATTTAAAACAAAATAAAATAAAATTCTAAATAAAATAAATTTTAAAATGTTAATTTTTTTTTTTTTAACCTGAAATGCTGATATCCAAAGAGCATGGGTCTCCCTTGCGGCGATGCTTGTGACTCTATTGAGCGTCTACTTATGTGTTCAATGTTACTGCAACTGGGGTCATTCGCAGGCCAATACCTGTTGCTAAAATCTTTTGGTAACCTTGGTCTATTTAAAGCTCAAGTATTTACTGTATACACCAGCTACACTGGGGATCACTGCCCAGTGACAACATGGGAAAATCGTATTCCAAATTCAGAATGTCCTTTTGCCATTCAGAGAAAAAGAGATTCAATTGTCAGAATTCCAAGGATAGTGGACGATGAATATGAAAGACGTGCAAACCGTATCGGATATATCAGAAATGCAACATTCCCATCTTTCATCTGTGGCTTGCGAAAGCTCTCTTGCTGATACAGTCCGATATAGAACATATGCAAGGCATGGCATGTGTCACACACTCCCCCTTCTGTGTCGGACCTGAACACCACTTTAGCCTTGTGACATTTCACAAAGCTTGTCAGCCATGAGTGGGAATGAGCTGCCCTTGTGCCTCGTGCTCATCGCAGCGATGCCAAAGTTCACTTTTTCATCATGAGCAACGTGCATGCCACTCGATAACAGCTGATACTTTTTTGTCCTGTATTCACTACGACATGTAGCGATTCCGATGGGGGGAATTTTCCAACCGCCGTGCAAATGGGTGGGGGATGCAGAATGGGGCTTAATAGGTGTGGATAGATATTGCAGAATATACCGCAACATTGAGTTTTTAGTCATGCACATGGTTCCACTTTCAAGCCGTGTGATTTAAAATAAAATTTTCCAACCGCCGTGCAAATGGGTGGGGGATGCAGAATGGGGCTTAATAGGTGTGGATAGATATTACAGAATATACCGCAACGTTGAGTTTTTAGTCATCCGGGAAATGTCTGCGGCGTGTGAAAGACGCCCCCCACCCCCGAAAAAAATGATTCCAATGAATCCGATTTATAGCGAGAGGTGGCCACAGTTCTGCGTCAAGTTCAAAATGCCGCAACTGCACTCACCGCCAGTGAACATGAGGGCGCACTTGCACATGCAGTTGTCATTGTCCATGTCCTTGGTGCTGAAGTCCGCTCCGTGGATCACCAGACTGCTCTGTCTGCCGGCCGTCCCGCTGTGACTTTTCAGGAACAGCCTGAAAGACATCGAGAAGGAGGGAGGTCGGGCATGGAAGCACATTGGGGTGAGGGGCGAGGGAAGAGGAGAGTGAGTGACGGAAGGCAATAAAGACACAACATGCTGCAGGAGAGGTCTCCTGAGACATACCTTTTTTTGTTGTTGTGAATGAGCTTATATGGAACATGTGTGACAACAGTGGAAAGACTCGCTATAAAATGAGGACTAGAAGGGCACAGGAACAGGATGTTATATGTAAGAAGTATTTTATGGCGTGTTATACGGATTTTTTGCTGCTGGAATACGCTTAGAGGGCATTGAAAGGAAATAACCACCCATCCATTTTCTATTTACCTGACCTAATTTGTCATCTCAACATGGGTACAAGGTGCAGTGAACCTTTCGATGGCTTTTCCCTCGTTACGGTCGAGGAATCACAATGAGATTTTCGGTTCGATTTTACGGGTGACTTTTGATGACCGCGGAACAAGAACGAGTCATTTGCAGTAGTTTTAAGACCTCGGAGAGACTCCCCTTTTCGCAAAGAAAGTCATTTAGCTTAAAAAGACTCCTTTATTTAAACAGCTGTGGAAAAGATTGATCTGCAGGAGGAGTAGTAGTAAAAACATTAAAAAAAAAAAAAAAAAAAAAGAACTGTTGGCCATAGAAACAACTTATATAGTGATCCAATGGAAAGACATGTTGTATAAACAAATTTATATTCAAAGTTGTTTACTAATGGGGGGACCGTGTAGTTTGTTTATGAACTGAATACTGTTGTGTTGCTGGGCAGAATTCCCGGAAATAGTACGCAAATAGGAAGCGAAGCCTCGGAATAATACAGTCTAGCAGGCAAGGGGGATATTTTCGAAATGATGTTGTAGTTGACAACATACCGACTCACTTACGAGAAGAATGGCCAGTAAGTCCTAATTCCATGTAACAAAACATGTTGTGTCAAGGATAAGGTCTGCTACTACTCTGATAAAGACCAGACTTACACTTTTAACTCCTGACTCTCCATTTTACAAAGCCGTTGCACGGGTGACATTTGATGACCTCGGCATAAGAACGAGTCATTTGCAGTAGTTTTAAGACCTCGGAGAGACTCCCCTTTTCGCAAAGAAAGTCATTTAGCTTAAAAAGACTCCTTTATTTATACAGCTGTGGAAAAGATTGATCTGCAGGAGGAGGAGTAGTAAAAACATTTAAAAAAAAAGAACTGTTGGCCATAGAAACAACTTATATAGTGATCCAATGGAAAGATATGTTGTATAAACAAATTTATATTCAAAGATGTTTACTAATAGGGGGACTGTGTAGTTTGTTTATGAACTGAATACTGTTGTGTTGCTGGGCAGAATTCCCGGAAATAGTACGCAAATAGGAAGCGAAGCCTCGGAATAATACAGTCTAGCAGGCAAGGGGGATATTTTCGAAATGATGTTGTAGTTGACAACATACCGACTCACTTACGAGAAGAATGGCCAGTAAGTCCTAATTCCATGTAACAAAACATGTTGTGTCAAGGATAAGGTCTGCTACTACTCTGATAAAGACCAGACTTACACTTTTAACTCCTGACTCTCCATTTTACAAAGCCGTTGCGATCTCTGTTTGCAGTCACAAAATGCCAGGACACATCTTTCGGGAAGGATTTTCAGCATGACACTTTTGACAGGAAGCTTGATATAGTATGCGTCTGTGTTTACATATTTACTAGGCCAACAACTACTAAATGGAACAGACATTTGCTATCCGCTAATGCTTCCCGTCAGGGTCTGTTCTGCTCACGGTTGGGGAAGGCGACTCATCTCAAAACGGGCCAGGTCAGAAACTCGAGTGATAAAGTTCGGATCAAGATCAAGCCAGATCGATTTGGTCCACACCCCGGCACAATTATTGTGTCCATTCTGGAGTTTTGGGTGGAATCTGTATACGTACAGTATTTACCAAATGTCAACAAAGTATTTTCCCGAGCAGATTAAGCGCTATCAAAGTTCGACACGGGCAGTCAACGAAAAGAAAATAACCGCAATGTGGTCCGAGGAGGCATCATATGTCTGCCAAGTGTTTGTCTGACCATTTCCAAGTGAAAGTAGGTCACGGTGATTGACATCATGCTGCGTTATAAAATCGTCACCATCAAACCAAGCAGAATCGCTTACACTAAATAAAGAAAACAGAACATTGTTTCATCAACAAAAAAAATTGTTGTTTGTATACCTTCCAATCTTTATTCGAAACACGCTTATGCCCACATATTTGCTTTAACGTTCGTAAATACCATCAAATCCTTATTAATGTTTTCTCTCAGTGAAGGTACACTTGCAAATTCAATGTAGAGATGTACTGTAGGTCTAAAGCAGGTCTTGGGAGTTGTTTCTCCAAACACACAAGAGAAACGTGTTGGATTACACCAGAGCAGGATGGGATTGACACGGGGCCCCAGATCGACTAACATGCGGTCCGTTATTCTGAACAGAGGTTATTGCTGTCATACAGCAACCGAAGGAGAGACGACTCCAAGCAATACCCGGCACAAATGTCATATGAAACTTTTAAAGCTGATTGAAAAACAAAACGACCGCGCAATCAATCTTTCTCACAGCTTTCAAACCAAACAATTTCTTATAAATGTCTTTTCTTTCCGTAGTTTGGAAATACAACGGCCAATAAATCAATAAGTGGCAGTGATACGCTGCACAGAATCAGTGAGGTCCCCATGCCACATACCGTCTTGACTGCACCATTACACTAAACCTAACCCTAAACGTACCGTATTTTCCGCCTTATAATCCGATGCGCCTTATATACGGATCAATATATTGATTTCTTGGACATAGTATTTTAAATGTTCTGTAAAACGCTTTGTTACAGCTGCAGCGGTTGTGAAAGCTTGATATAAATCAAGCTTCAATGTATTGTATTCCTATAAGGTTAGCTCCATCTAGTGGATGCATAACGCAACCACAGCCACTATTGCAGCTTCTATTCTATGTGCCTTATAATGCGGTGCACCCTATATATGAAAACAGTTTTAAAATAGGCCATTCATTGAAGGTGCGCCTTATATTCCGAAGTGTCTTATAGTGCGGAAAGTAAGGTAACTTTACTGTCGCGGTTTCCATACACTTTGAACAATAGCGCTGAACTTCATAGAATCTAGTACACTGAAAATACTTGGAATTTGGGCTGTCCAACAGACAAAACAACACATTAAAAAAATGTTCTGAGCACGATATAAAATCTTCAAACAACTGGTCAGGACAACCTCTTATGATGGAAAGCGTAGAACCTCACCTCCCCCATGTATTTATATACGCAGGATAACGTGGCGAATCAAATCAAATAAAAGAAGCTCGGTAATTAAACACAGTCATGTTGAAGGGGCGGAAAAAAAAACTATAAAAGTAATGGTAAGTATGTGTAGTGAGAACACGAGCTTCTCTTGGCAGGTAATACCAGGAATGTATTGAGTTTGCTTGGTTATTGTTGGACTGTTCATATTTCTCTTTGCTGTGTGTCTCTCTCTCTGCGCTCATCAATTGGTATCAATCATCTGACTCTTGTTGACGCAGCACAGCCGAAAATAATCTTCGGCTCAATATAAAAGCAGACTGGATTACTCGCGACTATCCCCTTCAATCAATAGCAATCGACACAATCGTGAGTTATGACATTCAAACACACAAAGGTCCCAGAACGCATCATGTAGCGGCACCTTCTGGTTTTTGTTGGCCAATGTTTTAGAAAAGCAATGAGCGAATGTCCAACAAAAAAAGGTTTTTCCTAGCAACAAACACATTTGCAAAAACCAGCAAATCACCTGGAGCCCAAACTATGAGGCTGTATTCCAGGGAGGCTGAACTAGTCGTTCATTTGCTCACCCCAGCTGGAAAAGTAGAGAAATATATCCATGTAAAACGAAACAAAGTTGATCTACAGGTTCTCAGGGATCCCGTTCAGGGTTGGAGAGATTTTGTTTCATAGTGTATGTATTCTAAGGAAAGTAAGTTATGGTTAAGTACTGGTGTAATTTCAACAAGATCCTTATCATTGAGTAAAGTTAAAAAATAAGGGGGAAAAAAAGCAGATTAATTTTCCTTCCTAATCTTTGTGTCTGTTTGTTGTTTTTCCATGTCCCCAAGACCGGAGCCATGCGAGGTGAACCGCTGTCCCAACAACACATTTCTCCAGATTAATGATGGCAACAAGGCAAATAGCCCCACACTACTGGGAGACTCAGAGCAATATTTCACTCTGAAACGTATGAAAGAGTTGAGGCGAAGGTCTTTATGTTTCAGAATCTCTCTGCTTTTCCAATTTTCACAACAAAGGGGAATCGTCGTCTGACAGAACCCGCAAAGCCGTGAAAACCTGAGAAGGGAAGATGTCGGAGCGTCTCGCCGAGGCCAGCGATTTCTTGGAACATTGGCATCTTTGACGCAGTTTTTCCGTATTTGAGAATCCCAAGCATCTGCCACAGTTTGCCATCTGTTATCACTAACCCCCCCTTAAGAATAAACAGAAACACTCTTGACACCCCCCGCCCCCACACCACCAAATGCCTGTCAAAGGACATTTACATGGACAACACCGTGATACATTTTCGTTGGACTGAATCCGGATTCAAAAAGAGCTCTTCACAGGATTGCACAACGGGATCAAAACCCTTGAAATGAGTGGGAATCTTCCTGTCCCTCGAAAGTATTTAATCTTCTGATCGCTCCACTTGAAAAGCATTTCCATCTTTGTTTTGTCATGATTCATTCTTTTCCATCGGTAACATAAGCGAAGACAAAAGCTTGTAACAAAGTTCGTACTCTCCAGAAACAATCAAACAACAAACAAAAAAAATAATAAAAACTGCCTCCCTGTTTCAAATGCCTTGGAAGGGAAGCACTCGGTCTAAGTCAGCATGCATCTATTTGAATCATCTCCTTGGATTGAGCGCTCAAAGTTTACAGGCGGGTCAGTTGAAGGCAGCACCATTTAACGGAGTGCCTGTGATGTCAGACAGGCATCTTACAGCACTTGAACTCCCGTTCTTCATCCAGAAAGCGCAAGCTCCGCAGCCAAGTTCTTACAACATTAAAATCTGGATGGAATGGGATGAAATATTTTTGTTATGTTAAGAAGTGTTTGCATACAGGAATGTCGGCAGGGTCATCCGTTCTGCCACATCGACGGCGCGCTCCATTGTAAAATCCTTCCAGAACAAATGTCGGATTTTGAGAGAGGCGCAGGTGAAATGGTGCACAAAAGCCAGAAAAAAAAAAAAAGGGTCGAGTACTGTGATCATTACCTGTAGTTCTGTTTCTCGCTGCCAATTTGAAAGCGATCGTACAGTGAGAACGCTTGGTGTCCGTCCCAGTCTGTCAGTTCAACGCGGAGAACGTACTGCCTTTGGCTGGTTAGCTGGTAAATGTACTCGTTCCCCAACCAGTGCTCCGCAGATGTGCTTCCAAAACCCTGAAATCGAGGCGGACAAACATCAGCAACGTTGGCAAGAAGTGGAATGACATTACAGCTCTTGACAAAAGTGAGAAGTGGGGTTGACGATGATGATGGCTGCGGTGGAGGTAAAGTCTGTGTTTGTGCTTTAAGCGTGTGTGGTGATGAGGAATGGGAAGGAGGGAAAGTAAATATGGTGCATTCTTGGCGGCTTAGGCATGTCTTGCAGAGTGGGTGGAAGAGCAAGTGAGCGGGGCCCCCCTTTTTTATAGCTTCTTCTTTCTATACAATATATTTCACTCCTTTGTGAATATCAGCTTGGTCTCCTGTTGGGAACCGGAGTCCATGTCAATACCGTTGCACTCCAGAGAAAAATTCCAAGTTCATCTTGCCATTTGTGTATAGTATTTGGACAGACGTCATTACTCTTTACTCCCTTATTATGTCCAAAAAAAAAAAAAAAAAAGGTTTGCGTCGATCATCTCTTCACCTCCCAACTGACAAAATTACAACTCGTGGCCGCACCACCTTGACTGCGAAGAATAACAATTCCTACGAGTGCATTGAACCTATGCACAAGCCTACGAAGAGCAAGAATGTGAAAACTAATAACACTATAAAACACCATCAGTCACGTCCAAACTGTTGAAGGGGGGCGGGGGTGACGTTGCACAATGAACTGTGAATGTCAACCGAAGGTTCATGGTACCCCCTCGTGGAACGTAATGCAGCCTTTGTGCACCTGTTCAGTGCCGGAAGCGTTCCGTTTCAATTCTCATTGGTCTTTAAGCCTTCGGTTTGCACATGTTTTGACTCGCATGTTTGTGATTTTACTTTTTGAAGGCAACGCGATATCGAGATTTCTCAAATCATTCAGGAAGGGGGGAACCGGAGAGTTGACACCGGTGTCGCAGATGACGTTATAGACGGCTAGCTGCTACATGTGTCACTATTTTTCAAAGTCATTTTTCAATTTTTGTCGTTGTTGTGTGTATTACTTGTTTCACCGTTAATGTCTCAAAATGGAATATTTTCAGACTTGGAGGTGCCGCTCAAATATGTTGCCGTGGCAATCCAAGATTAGGGACTGTGGTGGACACAAATGTTTTAGCGTTCGCGTATGTTGTCCGCCGACTTTATCTACAAGCTCAGAATTCGAAGTTGCCGGCTACAACTTTTCCTCAACCAGATGTTAACAGCATTATCGGACAACATATTTCATTTTTAGTTGCTTTTTTTTTTCTTTTTAGAACGGGGGTCTGAGTAATATGATCTGGTCTGGTATTGCGCTCGCTAGTACCATCTCGAAACGTCATTGCGATCCTTTTCATACTGACAAGTAAATTATACATCAGTCCAAAGGACTGAAGGGGAAATTAAACTCGAGACTGAAAGCACATTACAGGGGCAAGTCTAAACATATAATCCATCTGATAATAAACTGACAGCTATTGGAGGGTATAGAGCGCTGACTTATAGAGTACAGTCACCAAGTTTGACGGCCAGCAATAATAAATGCAAGTCAGGATCGGACCAAAGCGTAGATTGAAAATGTTTAACGCTTTCAATCTAAGTACGCATGGAGACTTCCGTGATGACAAACATATGACGGTCCCCTGCAAACACCAAGCGCAGTGCAACAGAGGTGGACCCAAAAAAAAAAAAAAAAAAAAAAAAAAAATTGTCATATTTACACACAATAATTTCCTGTTTGAGAAGGGGAAGGATTCACCGCCAGTGAACATGAGGGCGCACTTGCACATGCAGTTGTCATTGTCCATGTCCTTGGTGCTGAAGTCCGCTCCGTGGATCACCAGACTGCTCTGTCTGCCGGCCGTCCCGCTGTGACTTTTCAGGAACAGCCTGAAAGACATCGAGAAGGAGGGAGGTCGGGCATGGAAGCACATTGGGGTGAGGGGCGAGGGAAGAGGAGAGTGAGTGACGGAAGGCAATAAAGACACAACATGCTGCAGGAGAGGTCTCCTGAGACATACCTTTTTTTGTTGTTGTGAATGAGCTTATATGGAACATGTGTGACAACAGTGGAAAGACTCGCTATAAAATGAGGACTAGAAGGGCACAGGAACAGGATGTTATATGTAAGAAGTATTTTATGGCGTGTTATACGGATTTTTTGCTGCTGGAATACGCTTAGAGGGCATTGAAAGGAAATAACCACCCATCCATTTTCTATTTACCTGACCTAATTTGTCATCTCAACATGGGTACAAGGTGCAGTGAACCTTTCGATGGCTTTTCCCTCGTTACGGTCGAGGAATCACAATGAGATTTTCGGTTCGATTTCACGGGTGACATTTGATGACCTCGGCATAAGAACGAGTCATTTGCAGTAGTTTTAAGACCTCGGAGAGACTCCCCTTTTCGCAAAGAAAGTCATTTAGCTTAAAAAGACTCCTTTATTTATACAGCTGTGGAAAAGATTGATCTGCAGGAGGAGGAGTAGTAAAAACATTTAAAAAAAAAGAACTGTTGGCCATAGAAACAACTTATATAGTGATCCAATGGAAAGATATGTTGTATAAACAAATTTATATTCAAAGATGTTTACTAATAGGGGGACTGTGTAGTTTGTTTATGAACTGAATACTGTTGTGTTGCTGGGCAGAATTCCCGGAAATAGTACGCAAATAGGAAGCGAAGCCTCGGAATAATACAGTCTAGCAGGCAAGGGGGATATTTTCGAAATGATGTTGTAGTTGACAACATACCGACTCACTTACGAGAAGAATGGCCAGTAAGTCCTAATTCCATGTAACAAAACATGTTGTGTCAAGGATAAGGTCTGCTACTACTCTGATAAAGACCAGACTTACACTTTTAACTCCTGACTCTCCATTTTACAAAGCCGTTGCGATCTCTGTTTGCAGTCACAAAATGCCAGGACACATCTTTCGGGAAGGATTTTCAGCATGACACTTTTGACAGGAAGCTTGATATAGTATGCGTCTGTGTTTACATATTTACTAGGCCAACAACTACTAAATGGAACAGACATTTGCTATCCGCTAATGCTTCCCGTCAGGGTCTGTTCTGCTCACGGTTGGGGAAGGCGACTCATCTCAAAACGGGCCAGGTCAGAAACTCGAGTGATAAAGTTCGGATCAAGATCAAGCCAGATCGATTTGGTCCACACCCCGGCACAATTATTGTGTCCATTCTGGAGTTTTGGGTGGAATCTGTATACGTACAGTATTTACCAAATGTCAACAAAGTATTTTCCCGAGCAGATTAAGCGCTATCAAAGTTCGACACGGGCAGTCAACGAAAAGAAAATAACCGCAATGTGGTCCGAGGAGGCATCATATGTCTGCCAAGTGTTTGTCTGACCATTTCCAAGTGAAAGTAGGTCACGGTGATTGACATCATGCTGCGTTATAAAATCGTCACCATCAAACCAAGCAGAATCGCTTACACTAAATAAAGAAAACAGAACATTGTTTCATCAACAAAAAAAATTGTTGTTTGTATACCTTCCAATCTTTATTCGAAACACGCTTATGCCCACATATTTGCTTTAACGTTCGTAAATACCATCAAATCCTTATTAATGTTTTCTCTCAGTGAAGGTACACTTGCAAATTCAATATAGAGATGTACTGTAGGTCTAAAGCAGGTCTTGGGAGTTGTTTCTCCAAACACACAAGAGAAACGTGTTGGATTACACCAGAGCAGGATGGGATTGACACGGGGCCCCAGATCGACTAACATGCGGTCCGTTATTCTGAACAGAGGTTATTGCTGTCATACAGCAACCGAAGGAGAGACGACTCCAAGCAATACCCTGGCACAAATGTCATATGAAACTTTTAAAGCTGATTGAAAAACAAAACGACCGCGCAATCAATCTTTCTCACAGCTTTCAAACCAAACAATTTCTTATAAATGTCTTTTCTTTCCGTAGTTTGGAAATACAACGGCCAATAAATCAATAAGTGGCAGTGATACGCTGCACAGAATCAGTGAGGTCCCCATGCCACATACCGTCTTGACTGCACCATTACACTAAACCTAACCCTAAACGTACCGTATTTTCCGCCTTATAATCCGATGCGCCTTATATACGGATCAATATATTGATTTCTTGGACATAGTATTTTAAATGTTCTGTAAAACGCTTTGTTACAGCTGCAGCGGTTGTGAAAGCTTGATATAAATCAAGCTTCAATGTATTGTATTCCTATAAGGTTAGCTCCATCTAGTGGATGCATAACGCAACCACAGCCACTATTGTAGCTTCTATTCTATGTG